TTGCATAAAATGCGTGCAAACTGGAAAAAAATAAGAACAATTATAAAACATTAAAGAGAGAAAGAATTTTCAAAGTATGGAAAAATCAAAATCGCTCACTTTCACATCCTGAAGTGACCTTATCACTGAAAAATTATCCAATAGGTTCAATTATTTTTCATACCTAAGATTTGTAAGAATATCAACCATACACTTTTTTCAAAGTGCGTTAATATGGTTGATATCAACGCACTTTGAAAAAAAAATTTCAAAGGCGTTGAATTGGTCCCAAATTTAACGCACTTTGAATTTTTTTTTTCAAAGTACGTAATTTGTCAAAGTGCGTTGTAACAAACCCCTCGTATGTAAATACACGTACTAAGTAATTTACAATCGGAATTTCCTCTAAGTTGACGGAAACTATAAGTGCAAGCAAATTCATAGAATTGTGGTTCCCCGCTTTCGGTGTCTTTATGATAGCATGGTAGAAGTTTCTCTAAAGTTTAGCGTAAATAATATTATGACGTAATATTTTAATAAGAAATTAACTTTTCACATTTTATGAGATTTTTAAAATAGAAGGAATTTGACAATAAATTGAAAATCACATTAACTTTTCAAAATGCGTGATAGCAGGGAAAGGTATATGTTTGATATTGCGTTAGAAATAGTTAATGGTGTATGCGATAAAATGCATGACTGCGGTGAATGGGGTTATTTGAAAAATTCATATCAATCAAAAGTTATAAGGAAAAATAACATTTTTGAAAACCAGGTCAAACTTCACCGTCACAAGATCAACAACATATTGTATTTAGAAAGATCTTGTCACAGGTAATATACATGTATAATATGAAAGATGTATCTCTTCTCATTCAAAGATATGACCATGGTTAAAGGTTTTGAAAAAGTAGATCAGATCTAGACTTCAAGGCCAAGATATCAAATTTATAGTATAATTCGAAAGTTCTTGTCACGGGTAATGATCTTTAATGTGAAATCCCTCTTTCTTTTCATATGCAAATTGGGCCAATTGAAAGTTATGATCATTATTTTAAAAGGTAGGTCAAACTTTAAGGTCACTGGTTCAAAAATCATAGTGTATTTAGTCACAAGTAACATATATATTTATGTAATATAAAAGCCCCCTTTCTTCTCATTCAGAAGATATAACCAAGGTAAAAGTTTTCGCGATGGACGGAAAGACTGACACGCGGACAGACGAATGAAATTTAATGTCCCCCTCGTTTCGCGAAAGCGGGGGACAAAAAACTTTAAATTTAGATGTAAAGAACATACTTTGAATCATTCTCTCAGTCACTATGCCCTGCGTTGTAAAATCTCCCGAAACGGACTCCTTGAGCATTCCCGACGATGGATTAACACGGTCTCTATCATATTTGTGAAGATAAGCAAAAGATGATGTGAAAATTCCTAGTCCCAAAACCAGCAGAAATCCAAGTATTGACACAAAAACACAGTGTTTGGTACTTAACTTGCAGGATTCTCTTCTCATTAGATCCTGAAAACCGTCCATTTTCATTTTCAATTTGAAACACAATCTTAAACGACTTTTTTTTTTTGAAGAGGCACTTATAAACAAATAAGAGTGTATATGTAAGTGCAAGTAAAACACCTAATTAATATTATTCTCTAAAGTACGATGTTGGGAAAATCTCCAGTCATAATTTCCTTTTTATGTCCCTGTAAACGAAGTTTTGGGGTTATTTAGATTTTGTGGTGTCCGTCCGTCTGTCTACCTGTCTAGCTGTCTGTCTGTTTGTCTGCAGAAACTTTAACATTTCCCATAAGTTACGCGGGTTGTGTATTTTTTCTGCAACAGCTGCGACATTCGTTCTAGTACTAATTAACAACAAAAGAAAGCATTTTATTGTTTATATAATATCAAGAAAAGTTAAGTATGAATTCAATTAACTTGTCATGTTACTAATCATACATGTACAAATTCACGTTTGATATTGTCATAATTTTACACAATAAATGGTATCTAATTTTGCCTTAACTTAACAGTTTTAATAGATTAATAAGAATGAAAAGTCCTCCGACAACTTGTATACGTAATAACTCTCCACATGCCCATCTGCTAAAAAATAAAGTGCCAAGCGACATTTAATATAATAAATACAAATAAACCTAGAGCAGAGCTCGTTGTAAAGCAACGAGTACGTCTTCCGCTGAAACTGCGATTAGGACAAAGTGACCTTGAGTCAAGGTCATGCCATATGCTAAGGATGCAAGTAGTCTTTTTAGGCGTAGCAGTTTGCAATTTTTCAGCAGTAGAAAATCAGCAAAGGAATATACATCTCTTTTTATAGTGACTTTGAACTTGTACTAATAACCCTCCGCCAAGCTATGACACACTCTGCAACTGGTTATAAGCAAACCCCATCTGAATGTTACCAACTTCACATGTATTCTTTTCATCTAAAATATCTTACCCTTGTGATGAAATAGCCACGAAATAGAACGATGATCCATTAGTATAAAACATTATGTTATAATATTAGAAAATGACCCTTTTTGTCCTCTTTAGTGTGTGAATTCTATTTCAAAGGGAGAAAATCCAATCTCTTTAATGCCACTTGCATGGCGCAGTGGTTAAAACGTTAGAACGACTGAAGAGTCGCAAAGTAAGGAGTTAATTGCAGGCTCAAATACTATTACTGAAACCATTTAATCCAAGGGCCTGAGTAGCAGTAGGAGTTATCGCGAAAAAGGTCCCTCACTGCTCAATGGCCGTGAAATGATGAGTGCCGAGTATAGGACAAAATTTGCAGCTTACCATGGACAAGTGATCGTGTCTCCATATGAATGGAAGCCACTTGAAAGAGATTATACAACAGACCAAACAATCCTTTTAATAAGGTTTTGGAAAATTTTGGAGTTTTTACATCAAATATACGTCAATGTTACGAGAAAATTTTGTGATAATTAAGATTGAATTTTCACATACAAGTTCGATGCGCTGTATATAAGGTACGTGGCCTTGTTCACACATTTTCTTTGTTTTCTTTACCAAAATATACATAAAAAAAAATATCTTACTTTTTTTTACCCCTATCTGAATACTCATCTTGAAGAAAATGGGGGGATAGAGTATTGAGTACAAAAAATGTCTGACTTCAGTTTGTCTGATATTGCGGATACATTTTTCCTGTAGTTGCCCATGTATGACCGAACAGCAACAAACAGTGGGGATGGGGCATGTAATATCCAAATGAAAATTTACATATTAAAACTACAACAGAAGACTGTTCTCAGAAAAAATCTGAGACAACCCCCTTCATACTTTTTGAGATTGTAATATGCCTTTTATCGACGCCTACCCACCTCCCAAAAGAAATCCATATATAGACAAACCTTTAACTAATTTTCTCAACGTTTTTTTTTCTTGCTTCAAATTTACACGCCATGTTTACAATCGGAACTATCTGGATTGTTCGTAGTTCACTGAATTCGAGTTATGGTACGTGCACGTGTACATTATGCTATATTGCTAATACTGTATGTATACTTTAAAATACGGCTTCATTTTTAGCGGCTTTTGCGCAAACAACAATGCGCTATAGCTAATTCATGAAAACTGCTAAGAAATCATTTACATAAAGAATACACTGAACGGACTTGTGTAGTGCTAATTTATGAGTACGCCAACAACACTATACCCAGTGATTACGCAAAATTTTGAATGCGAGAAATTATGTACTTTTTGAGATTGTAATATGCCTTTTAACGATCCCACCCCACCTCCCAAAATAATCCTTATATAGAGGAAAATTTAACTAATTTTCTCAACTTTTTTCTCGCCATGTTTACAATCGGAATTATCTGGATTGTCCGTGTAGTTAATGCACTGAGTTCGAGATATCGTGCGTGTATATTATGCTATATTCCTAATACTTTATGTGTACTTTGAAACACGTTTTAGCAGCTTTGGCATAAACACTAATGCGCTAATTCGTGAATACCTCTAAGAAATCATTCAAATACAATACACTGAACGGACAGTGATTACGCCAAATTTCGAAAACGCCAAATTATGTACACGCACAAAACAGTTCAATGACTTACAAATAAACAATAATCGAGGACCTACATTGTAGTGTTCAGGTTCCCGAAAATATGCTTTTCTTGTAAAATAGAGGCATATATTTTATATACATTATATATTATTATATACATATATATATTTGTGTATATTTTATATACACAAATAGATTTAGATCTGTTAAATGCAGAACCAACACAGATCTCTGAAAACAGTATTGTAAATATCCACTGTTGACTGGTCATAGCAGACATTTTCTCTTTCGCATGCTCTTTTATTAAAAAATTGTCAATAATTTGTTTTAATTGGGTTGTTTTTTATTTGACCGAAAGTAGAATATATGAATATGGAATAAACTGGGAGACTTATTTTCCTTAAAGAGTTGATAAAAAATAGGCCAATTCTTTACCATAGGATCTCTTGAGACATTCTTACCAATGTACATCTATCAAATCAAAGTTAGAGGACTATAAACCGCATTACTTTTTTTTCTAAAACTAATTGTCTATATGTAGTCTAAACTGAACTCAGCCAAATTAAAAACTATTTTCTAAATATTTGACTTTCTTCTGATTAAGCAGAGCTAAAAAGTTTGTTGTTTTTTCATTGTGTTTACTTTCTAAAGTAACTACATTCTAACCAGAACAAAAAGGCATTTTTTAAGGAAAATCAGGGATAGGGATTTTTTTTTTACATGTTTATTGGGTATGGATAATAAGCTCTAAATATACGATATTTATTGCTTAATTTTTGTTTATTAATTTTTTTTTATTTCAAATATAGTTATAGATCAGTATAAGAAAAAGAAGCCTGATGTACATTATTGATATTGTTATAAGTAATATACATGTTATAGATTATATCATTTACATACAAGGAAAGCATAATAAATGTATGTTTTCTTTTTGTACTCTTTTCCAAAGTGATACTTTAAAAATCATAATATGAATGCAAGGAAAATCAATTTTAAATTATTGTTGAAGTCAGAGGTTCCAAATTCTTTTTTTCAGAAGAGAATGTCATTCTCTTTATGATGAGGGTGATTTCTGGGACCATGGAGTTTATTTCACAGGACAAATCACTGACTGTGCTTCGGAAACGGGAACTGCAAGTACAGATAAATAAGATATAAACCTCAGTAAAATTCTTAAGTATTAGATAAAGTCAAAATTTCGTTTTTAGAGGAAAAAATATTAGTTCATAGAGATATGACCTCATGATTACATAAGTTTGAGATGTTAATTGTATCTGTCCTCTGAAATTTTATATTTTGTAAATGCTTTTTTTTTTCACAAGAATGAATGATAATCTACAAAATATATGTATGAAGTTCCTAAGTTTTGACTGAGACAAATTCTTAAATCAAACCAATAAGTGAAGATGTCTCACCCGCTTCTGTTGTCAAAATAAACTTCATTTCTTCAACTGGACCACATTTTCCACACCATCCTGCACACCGGAAGGACACTTCCGCTCCGTCTGCTGAACGCTGAAAATCCAGTATACCAGTAGCCCAGCCTCCCACTTTACCGAATACAATCTGCAAATAGATCAAATTTTGTTCTTATCATACTTATGCACCTCTTTAAAAACGGGGTTTTAACTGACTCGTGTATTCAACCGCAGTTCTTTCCATCTTTTGTCCTTCCGCCTATTTGTCCTTAACTATTGCGGCATCAAATTCTTATTGGAAATTTACTTAAAATTTGTTAAAAAAAAATTATGAGATTTTCGCACAAATTTAATTACATGGTGTCATGCTTATGCAACCTTTTCTCCGTGTTTCTTTCAGACAGATATATCGGTTTTCTATTGCAAAACATGTATGCATTGACAATGCCATTCGTCAACATTTCTTATTCTCAACCCCAATTATACCACTTATTATTTTAGAAGTATTTATATTCCTCATAGTGGTCAAAGTAACAAAACAAAAGTTAATGCTACTTTTGCGACATCTTTTTTTTTTAAAGATAAGTATCATTAATAAAAATACATTTTTGTCAGACAAATATTTGATTTTTTTAAAACAAATCTTGGACTCTGTCATTCTTAAAAATATCAAATCCGCTGCATCTCCTATACCACTGTATAAAAGAACAAGGTTCACCTTTGCCTTATTTGGCCCTGTGTATTTCTGAAAATCTGAAATTACATAGTTTTAGTTAACAATGCATTAAATATCCCTTAGATCTTTGGTGACTGTGTATCTATCAAAAATGACGTAATTTTCTGGCTAGTCAATGCATTATGACGTCACAAATTGCGTCAATTTTCTCATATTCTGCGCAACCTCTGATCTAAAATATGCAACTCGTATATGATAGAACTGTTTTTGAGAATTCAAAGACAGGTTTTATTTTTTAGATCAGAGAGTGCGCTCACAGTATTTTTCTTCCCTGAAAGTACTTAATTATACCTGTTTACCTAGAAATTCAAGAACATTGCAATTTAATAAAGCCAGTTCTTCAAGACCTGGACTTTTAGGAGAAAATTTTTAATACGATATGAAAGCACTAAGTCTCTATTTTATTTTAATGCTTCAAATTGAAAATCAAGTGTTGTTCAATCAATTGGTATATCTACAGGGCCATTTTATGCATAAAGTGAACCGACTTCTTTATGATAACTTTGCAATAAATCATGATAGTGCCTTTTGGCACCTTCTCTTCTATATTAACAAATTGGGAAGATATTTAAAACTTTTTCCATTGCAAGAGATATCACTTTATAATCACATCATGGTCGGGGTTATGATATTGTGAGCTTAGTGCTCACAGACATAATTAGATTCGGAAAAAAAATAAAAATCATAAGCTTCATCTTAAAACCTTGTGAGCGTTCACTTCCCGCTCAAATTTTTAACTCTGCTAAATTAAATGTTAATGATTATTTTAAAGAATTTCAATAACATATTTTATTCATTCTACGGATTTTTCGTTTTTCTTGTTGAGACAAGGAACACGCGATGGGTGACCAATGTATATAGAATGCTTCCTCCTTCTTGGCGCCTGATCTTTCCTCTAATTCTGGTGTTTTTGAGGTCCCCGTTCTGCTCCCGCCTTATTTTTTTTTTCAATTGACATTTGAATCCTTATCATTTTCTTCATGTTTCTCTCTAAGAATAATTTTTTTAAGGACATGTTATTTTATTTCTGGAAATTAAAACTTACAGTAGGATCAAAAATCATCCCTGTTCCTCGAGTATTGATTTTTGCACTGGAAAATCGAAAACAGTTTTTCCTCGACTTTTCTGCAGCACAGTCAGCTGTTTGTCCAAAAGAAAGACTGAAATCCCCTGTAGGCACTGCGAACGTATAATCTGTTCCATTCACAGACATATCCTATAAGTAAAAATATACAGAAAGACAAATGTACCACGAGAAATATTACTTTATAAGAATATATAATGCAGAGAGATTTGCATATATTAAAATGTAGAGATGTCAAAGATTTTTCATCCTATAATCACATGTAACTGAGTTTTCGTTATGAACGACAACTCAATTGTATGAAAATGGAACTATTTGTACCCAGTTAAACATAATAAAATACCAATTGAACTTAAAAAAGAAAGACAAATAAAATCCAAAACCCTTTTAAGAACCAAGTAAATTTCATACATATATAAATTTATTTTTATGTCTATTTTATTTTAAATTATTGTTCTATATAACATTCTTTTCTTTTATAAGATCTCTTTCAAGGGCAGATTGTAGCTAAAAATTTGTTATTTTTAAGATGATTTTCAGCTGTTACACTGTAAAAATTTATCAAAGAATGCAAGATTTGATAATTAGATAAGCATATTTAGAAATAAAATCTTAAATTGATTATTTGAAAGAACAACAATATTTTCTTGAAGCTATGCAGAGCTGTAACAACAAACATAAATTATGCAATAGTTATAATTAGTTTCTTTTCATAAATCTTTGAATTAAATATTGAATATGTTGAAATAAATTTTGAAAAGGTTAATTAGAATATCAATAAAACTATTTTGTTAATAATCGTTTGTCAGAAAATATTTAGTGTTACGGAAATTGGACAGTTGATTGTTTTGAAATGTATTGTGAAGAGTGTACCGGTACAAGCCCTGTTAATTGTCTTTTATATTAATCATTAAAAGGAAAATGATTGTGCAACTTTCTTTTAAAGGATTAGTTATTCATGAATTTATACTTCTGAATACAACTTTAAATAAAACTGTAACATTTCGAAGATTCGGTTGATCTGCCCAAGCAATTAAAGAAATAAATAAATTAATAATTTCACAAGTAAAAAAAATCTTTAAGAAATATCGATAAAAAATAATTGAAAATTAAAATTCAGTTTAAAGGAAAAATAAAATTTTCTCAGAACTTGGTTTATGATTGAATATTGCTGGGGGTTTTTTCCAAGTGCATTGCGTTCTATCTTTCTAACTGAATATTTTACAATTTAGCTTCTGGAGCTTTGCCCCCGCAGACCCCATTGAGATCCTTAAGTCGACCCCAAACTCATGCCTAAACTCGGGCACACACATAAAAAGTACCCTGACTACGCCCTTAATTGTTTCTCTAATGAAGCTTCCAGAAAACAGATTGGGATAACTTATTTCGATTCCAAATTTTCTTTGATAAAAAATCAATTCTCAGTGTGTTTTTTCACTATCAATATTTATGTCTAAACATTCTGAGATATACTGAAAGGAAAAAGAAACGCAGGGTAGCATAATATTCGAAAAAAAAATTGACCGCATGACCGAAAATTACCAAAATTTGTCAAATGAGAAATATAGTTACTATGCACCAAAGAATTACTCAACCTTAAAAATTATGAAGTCACATAGGGAAAACGCTAAAAAGCCCAAAACACGTGCAATTTGATGACGACGAGTTTGTCAACAAATCTTATTGCACCATTTTATGCACCTAAGATATGCATATTGTTTTTCAATATTTAGAGACGCTATGAATTTCTTACAATTTTGGTACAGCTTACGGAAGTTCCATGGGGTCTGGTTTTCGAATTGCCTAATTAATGGAAAAAAGGCAACAACGAGTAACTAAGAAGTTTCTTGTAAATTTCCCCCATAAAACTTGTATCCTGTTGTCAGAAATGGCCTGGAATGGTTTTCAATCAACCGTGACGATGACGTTAACGCGAAACAGAGTCATGTAACGAGCGGGTTATTCGTCCTGGCTTCTCTTAAATCGCCATCTTACTACCATCAAAACCCAAAACCGCCTTTTATACAGTAGACTATCATAATCATTACGTTCACACGAAAAATGAAAGAAAACAATTCCGCAATTTGGTTTTTTGAGCCGATCAACTTACTGTTTTGTTCCTCTCACTGGCACATGCGCACGTCGTATGTCTAATTTTTTTGCTAGTTACCCAAGTCCAATATAGCCAGGGATTGAAAAATAAACACTGTAATGAATTCAATGCAAAGAAGAAATAAGGCTCATGAAAGATGCGCGGGGAGACATTGAAGAATTGAGAGTTTTCGATTTTCACTTTTGGGAGGTATCGTCATATGAACTTCAATAACATTAATTAATGAACAAAATCAAATGGGATTTTGATTATATCTATTTGAAAGATGAATTTAAAAGTTAGATAGGAATTCTGACAAAAAATTAAAAGAAAAATGAATTTAATTCACCTCAAACGTTTACCCTGCGTTTCTTTTTCCTTTCAGTATATTTAGTTGATGGAATTGTTGTTTTAAAGGAGATTTTGTCCCCGTTTTATATTGCCCTTTTGTCTCAAGCACAGTTGGGCGAATTTTAAGTAGGCCGATTTCAAGGAAGATGGTATAATTTTACATTTAACTTTGCCTGGACAAAACTAAAATTGACTTAAAAATGATTGTAATTGCAAAAGGCCACATCAGACGAAAATAAATCCGTATGTACTGTTACCTCTATGTTAATGGCCACTTTCAAAAAATCTGCTTTCTTTAGTGGAGGCGTAAATGTAGATGTGCATCGTTCGTATTTACTTAACCAATTTGAATCGTCGTGTTGAACAAAGGAGTTTTCATACTTCAGAGTGACATACTCCTTCGGACCTCTCTGCATGTCATGACAATAAATCTTCACCCTCTTTCCATTTGTTACTGTAGGATACAACCAATATTCACCATCCTTCGTCGTCACAGTGCAACGAGCGATGTCGGAACACGACTGGGGTACTTCAGAAATATACAATTACATATTATATCTTAAAAACCACAATCAAAAAACAAAAATAATTAATCAAACGATGTCATGATGTTGATGATGTGATGATTATGTTCTTGATGTTGATGATGATGATGATGATGATGTTGATAATGATGATGATGTTGTTGTTGTTTATGATGGTGAAGGTGATGATGATGATGAGGGTTGTGATGATCTTGATAATGATGATTATGTTGATGATAATGTTGATTATGATGATGATGTTAAATATAGTATTGATGATGAAAATAATTATTATCATTATCCTGATGATCATCATCTTTATATAATTTGAATCTGACGTGTATAATCCTTCCTGATTTAAATTTCACAAAGAAAAAAATTAGAAAGTATTTGCAGAACGTTGCAAACCAAAGTGCTTTTGGTCACCACACCACTTTGCTTCGGAAACGATTCATTAAATTGCTGATTAAAAATTTACATTTAAGATCTTGTTTCCTTATACTTCAAAAGATATCTCTGTCATATTTTGGGTAGATAATTAGAAATATTGATTTCAGTCATCATCCAATTCAAACCTATTCAAAAATTATTCAGCCATAAATCGTAATAAATATGTAGAAAACATCAAAGAATAGAGTCAGCATGGTCAATAATAATACATTAATGGTCTTTTTAGTTACCTCCATTTTTTTATTAACTAATTTGAACAGCATTGAACCTTTCATTTAACATGCAAAAATGTAATTGTTTATGGGTTGTGGAGGGAATAGGTTGTATTTCATGAAGAAATCACTGGAATTTAACAATTAAATCCTAACTTAAAACTCATTAATTTTTCAAGTAAACCCATTCCATTAGAATCCACTGTTTTAACCCATTCCATTAGAATCCACTGTTTTAACCAACTTATTAAGTGTACAAATAACCAGAGAAACTGTTCATATGAATAATTAGGTTGATATTTCAATTTATGTACCCATACAGTAGTTAAATTGATATGTCAATTTATGTACACATACGTACAATAGTTAAGCCGGCTGTTGTTATGAGAATTTCTACCTGTACAAACAACGATCTTGAAAAAATATACTCACGTCTTTTGTTGCTTGCATTGTCCATGATATGATATTCAGTTTCTTTTTCGTCTCCAAGTTGATCCCAGTAGAGATGAAAATTAAAAAGCTGACATGTCCGACTCCTTTTATCGTATAATACAGAAATGCACTGGTTCTCTGTTGTACAAATCAAACAACAGTGCACCCTGCTGTCTGTGGCTCCTGTCCATAGAGCAAGCGACGGTTCTGTGAGTTCTAGCCTGGTTGAAACCTTTCGAAATTTTATTAAAACTGTAAATAAAAAGTTTATGACGTCACAAAAGGAAAACTAACGAATAGTTGTATGCATGTTACCTATATAAAAAAAATCCGGAAAACATAAGCTACTATTGGGATAACATATTCAATGTTTTTTTTTAAATATTTACATTTCCAATAAATTTCCCTTATGATTCTTTAAAAATAAAATGAAGTATATTTTCTCATGAACTACATTAGGTATGTATCACGAATAAGTATAAATATCTCCATTGTTACGTCATAATACTGTTCTTGACGTCAAAAAATATAGTGCACACTGTTTTGTTTTAAAAATGACAGTTGAACGGCATAAATTTATGGCAAGTCATCAGAAAAATAAAAATAATGTAAATATAAGAAATGAATTAAATTTTTTGAAGATTCATGAGGTATATGAACTACAACGCTTCACGCCGGCATATTTATCATGAAGCGCTAACGCGCTTCATGAAATATGCCAGCGTGAAGCGTCGTAGTTCATAACCTCATGAATCTTCAAAAATAAAATTCATTTCTTAAATATACTTTTTAAGAAATAGTTAGAAACTACGGAAGCCCGTTAGTGCCAACCTGTATATATAAAGGAAAAGCAATATATAAAAGCAAACCTCGATATATAAAGGAAATGCGATATATATAAACAAAACCTCGATATATATAAAGGAAATGCGATATATATAAACACAACTGGGATATATATAAAGGAAATGCGATATATATAAACAAAACCTGGATATATATAAAGGAAATGCGAAATATATAAACAAAACCTCGATATATATAAAGAGAAATGCTATATATATAAAGAGAAAATTTTCCACTGCGTGACCTGTAGCGCTCGGCTGTCCATCAAGATTATATACAGATTAACTCCTGGCAGGGGGGCAATCAGTTATACAGTACTCATGTATAACTTTCCCAGAATCGGCAAAATGTTGCTATGAAATAGTGTTTATTTGTTTGTACATGCATATATCAATGGACTGTAATTGTAACATTACTTAAACTAATGCAATTAATTGAGAAGAAGAGCATTTACAGTGGCGGATCCAGAAATTTCGTAATTGGGGGGGGGCGCATTAGAAGGCAGAGAGCTCTGGTGGCTGTACGGAATTTAGGATAATGGACCTATAAATTATATATACAAATATTTTAAACGGAGGGGGCGCACGCCCGGGGCGCCGGTCCTGGATCCGCCTTTGATTTAATCATTAGTATATACATGTATATTAATGAAATAAGTATATTTATCGTATTTTCTGTGCATTTATTGGATTTACATGTACATGATCAATTTCGTTTTTACAACCTAGAGCTACATGTATCTTGTTTACTGTTTTATAAAAAACTTAGGCGTACTACCTTTGGTTTCACGACCGAGAATTTATGAAAATAATGTTTAACAGGAAGTCTCTTTTTTGATGCCCTAATTCAAATTCATTTAATTCATTTTAAAAATAATTAACTAGTATGCCCATTGATTGTTAAAAAAGAATCAATATCGTTCGGAATGGGAGAGAGGGGAAGGGTGAAGGTACCCACTTCATTTGAATGTGAGGGAAGAAATTGACAATTAAAATTATGCTTTAATAATTTTAGGGTCTTTAATGGTGTGGGAAAAAAATCAAGTATTTGGGAATTAATTAAAAGAAACGAATTAGTGCATGCACACGCACATAATTAAACTGCGCATTTTTATCCCACGTCGTAAATTAAATCGATTTGAAATTCTCTATACATCATGCAAAAAACATAGTAAAACGTTAAAAAACTTATAAAGCATGATAAAACACACTTGTATGTTTGCACCGAATTATAGTTCGATTGAAAAGACCCCCAGCATTAATATACAAGCAGAAAAGTCTCTGAAGTCTTTGAAGGTAAATCAATTCAATTTGATTCATTCACACACTGTAAATGGTACACAAGGTACAGAAACATAAAAAACACATATATACATATACATATAATACAGTGGAGCAGACACAGACAACACTTTTAATTTTAGAGATAAATGTACATAATTTTTTCAAAGAATCAAGATCATTTTGGCACGTGAAGAAGAACAGCAGTTTTTTAAGCTTCAGTTTTAATCATCATAATTATCAAGATAACAACACACCGAATACCATCCTGAAACAGCCACACCAACTGATCGCAATCAAAACATTAGATCGGGAGCTGCTTATCGTATGTTGGCGAAGTCTCTGTTGTTATGAAGGTCATTAAACATGTTAAAGGTTAGACGGCGGAAATTTTTCTCTTTATATATATCGAAGTTTTGTTTATATATATCGCATTTCCTTTATATATATCGAAGTTTTGTTTATATATATTGCATTTCCTTTATATATATCCAGGTTTTGTTTATATATATCGCATTTCCTTTATATATCGAGGTTTGCTTTTATATATTGCTTTTCCTTTATATATACAGGTTGGCACTAATGGGCTTCCGTAAGAAACGTTTTTTATATACTTTTTAAGCAATAGTTAAAAACGTTATTTGCATACCGGGTGAACATTATATTTTATTTATTTTCAAATTTTGCACAGATAGATTGTAAAACTTATTATCCCCAAAGGGGTGTATACATCTTCAAAAATATATTTGTAAATTTCTAGATTTTTTAAAAAGATGTTTTTTCACCTTGTGGCAGCAATAAATAATGTAGTTTTAAGCACGTCATTTGATTGGATAAAAGTTTATATCGTACAACATATGTTGCCGACGACACAATGGCTTACGTCAATGATTAGTGCTTGACGTTAATTTTACAATATGTTCAATTCGAGGATGTTTTTTAAGATAAAATGTTTTTATGTCTACACCTAGATTTTGCTGGTATAACCTGGGATGGCACAGTTTACGTCTTATTTTATAAACGGTTTATAGATTGTAAATTGTACCTACCCAGGTTATTTGCAGTATAACTTGGTTATCTTTGACTTTTTTCCCTAAATCACAACAAATTCCATTTTTTTTTTAGTGAAATTAAAGTTTTACATAGGAATACATTGGAAAAATCTTAAAGAATCGTCTTCTCAAGAAGCTCTGGGCAATGAAAGATAAAACCTTTGTGGAAGCATCCTCGGGTAGTGTAGAATCAAGTTTGTTCAAATCATGAGCCCTTAGAGTAGGGCGGGGCCACAATAAAAAATCAAAGTTTTACATAGGGATGCATAGGAAAAATCTTATTCTCAAGGACCTCTTGACCAGGAAAGATAAAACCTATGTGGAAACACCTCAGGCAATGTAGAATTAAGTAGATTCAAGTTTGTTAAAATCATGACCCCCGTGGATAGGGCGGAGCTACAACGGAAAATCAAAGTTTTACTTACGAACATATCTAGGAAAAGTTTTTTTAACAAAAAATCTTCTTCTAAAGACTATCTGGGCCAGGAAAAATAAAACTTATGTGGAAGCATCCTCAATTAGTGTATAATCAAGTTTGTTCAAATCATGACCCCCTAGGTTGGATAACAACGTAAATTTAGAGTTTAACATAGAAATATCGATGAAAAATCTTTAAAAATTTTCTTTTGGAGAACAGCAAAGCCATGTTTGGTCATATTTAAATAAAAGTTTCCTCATGTAGT